TGCGATTATGAACCCTAGAAATTGGGATTTCAAGGGATGTGAAAATAAAATAAAATAAAAAAATATATTATTATATTAAAAAATATGGAGCAGATTGTGTGCACAAATCCAGAATATTGAAGATAAAAAACATGTAAATTATTTTCACAAACAAATCTAGGAAAAAAATTATAAAAGAAGAGATGAACATTATGAAGAACAATGGAGGAGAGAGAAGAACCCTAGAAATTGGGGATTTGTGAAACGAAATTTAAAAATAAAAATCGTAAAAAAAAATTGAAGCAAATTGATTCCATAAATTCAGAATATTAAATTTTTTGACATGTAAAGTATTTTAAAAAAAATTGGATAATTTTTTTTTAAAGGAGAGGAGAGAGAAGAGAGAAAGTTAGACCCCAAAAAATAAAAGGGTCGGTCGAAGTGAGAGAGGAGAGAGTGCGGGCTGTTGGGAGAGTGGGCCCAAGTTCATTTGAAATTTGAATTTGAAATTTATATTTTTGATTTTTTTGGGACTCAAATGAACAACCAATGAAAAGGCGACACATCATTAGTGTATGTCTGGCCCACATACATTCAGTGTATGTGTAGCCATTGCGATTATAGTAATGAACCAATGCTTCATTCATTACGTAAATTTTTTTTTAAAAAAAAAGGGGAGAGAGAGAGAAAAGTACATGTTTTTTTTTAAAAAAAAGTCTGCCAAACTCTAAAAACTTGACAAAAGTAATTAACTCATCTTTCCCACCATTGTTTTGCTCGCCTACCATATGTCTGTAATTGTAAGAATTGTCTTACAATTACGGGAAGAACAACAAAACCCTTTTTTTAAAAAAAAAAAATACTCCCTAACTACGAATCAAAAGAAGCCATATAAATATATAACTCAAGGTCAATGAACGAAGACGTAGTTTGTAGTGGGTTGGCTGACAATTACTGTCAAGAAAGATGAAGGTGAAGAAGAACCATGGCTTACCACTATTCTCAAACAATTAAGGTTGGTTGTAGCAGATGATACAAATTAAGGAAGAATATGTTTGAGGAAAAAAAAAAGAAAGCTTCGTGAAGCTAGTGTTTCTCACGGTAATTTGGTGGGATTAGGAATTTATAAATTTAGTGTTGTGAAGGTGGATTTATCTAGAAGGTCTACAAGATAAGAATTGATAAAGTTTGTTTTTTTTTATTTCAATCCGATAAAACCAATTCTAGGAAATCAATTTCTCTTTTTTTATAAATCCGAAAAAAGAAAATAATTAATATATATATTTGAAAATAAATTATAAATTTAAAAGTTTATATTAGAAAATTGTTGACTAAAATATGCTACAAAAACTTGGGGTATTACAGACGTCCTCTCCTCAATCCTAAAAACCCCCTTCTCTCCCCCCTCAACAAACCCTTTCCTCCCAACCGGCGTCAAAACCTTTATCCCCACGCCGGCGAACCCTAATCATCCATCCCCTACCATTTCCACCCTACAACCACCATGCTGAAACCCCAAAATAAAAAAAAAACCCAAAATTTAAAATCAAGGGTTTTGATTTTGGGGTTTTAGGGGTGGTAGTTTTGGGAAAAATTGGGCAGCGGCAATGTGGGGCAAGAGATTGTGGTTGCCGGCGAAGGTGTTTTGGTGATTGTTGCCTGATTTTGGCTCAAGGTGGTTAGGAAAGGAGGGGTATTTATGGTTCAAGGCAAGGAGTGAAAAGCATGTGGTTCAGGGGAAAGGACGAGAACCAACTCCGGGTTAGGGGCAAGGGCGGCGCCGATGCGGGGGAGGCTGAGCTGAGTTGTGGCGAGGTGGCTGTGGAGGTTCGCTGGTCGAAGGTGGCTGGTTGGTTGTGTAAGAGGTGATTCTTTTTTGATTTTTTTTAGTTTTTTAATTAATTAATAAATTATTAAATAATTTAAAAATGAACTAATTATAAACTGCCATGTGGCATAGTTAACAATAATGACAAATGGAGTTAACTTCTGTTAGTCATTAAGGGTAATTGGTGACATTTTTGTTAAACTCGGGAATATTTGGTGAATTTGAAAATTTTCATGGGTATATGGTGAATAAAAAATAACTTATAGGAGCATTTGGTAAAAAAAAATCCTTTTTTTTTAAAGTAAAAAAACTTATGCTCAATTTCTCTCCTTCCACGTCATAACCACTACAAAGTCCACAATTCCTCTCTCCCACATGCACCATAACCACCAATCCACCAACACCATTCTTCTTCTACCTCCCATAGTCCCATCCTTTCATACTCTCCAACTTTTTCCATCCATAACATAAAAACCACCTTAATTAAATAATTATTTAAAAGTAAATAATTTATCGCAAAATCGTGAGAATGGTGGGTGGCATTTGGATTTATGTTGGTTATTTTTGGTGTTGGTTGAACGGTGGTCAACTTGCGGTGGGGTGGGTTAGATAGTTGTGGTTTCATGATGTAATCGAGTTAGATGGGTGGTGGTTTTATGGTGTAGGTGGTTTGGTTTTGTGGTGGGGTAGGTTAGATTGGTGGTTATGTGGTGGGGGTAAGTTAAACTGGTAACATAAGGGCTCTTTATAATTATAATAATACTGAATAAAAATAAAATTTGTTTTCTTTTCTTTTCATCGCTTTAATGTATTTTTTATTCAAATACTTCGGCTAATTTAATTTGATGATATATACTTTTAAAAAAATGTTAAAATATATTATGTTATTACATTTGTTCAATGTATATTTTGATAAAATTAGCTCTTTTAAAATATAAATTAACTTGCTGATAGATAAATATAATGATAAATAGATGAAATAATACAGTAACAAACAAGAAAATATAAGTGATTATGTAAGTAAATAAAAAATAAACAGAATGTTCACTAAAGATAGCAAAATACAAGATTAAATTAATATAATGTATAAAAGATACATTAAAAGATTCAATTTGAACTCACTCGTATGCAATTTTCTACCATTAAAATGTTTGTTCTAAATTTACCATCATGTATGAACACTCTTTTTAGTCTTCTTTAAAGGTGATGTTCAAAATTATTTGGGTCAGATATAATATATAAAATTGTAAAAATAAATGAAACTAAAAGAATACTCTATAAGGAAAAATAAATGCAAAAACGAACATGACATCATAAAAGAAAAAAAAGATAAAATAGGAAAAAAATGAACAATAATCATATTTGAATCCACAAGCTCCCCTAAGATTAACTTCTTACCACTAATCCATGAATGGAACATTACTTCTTTATGCAGCAAAACGTTAGTATATCTGCATTTTTTTTAAAATAGTATGTGGCTTTTTCATATTGAGCCCCAACTACCATGGCCCTAGGCGATCACACCCCTCGCCTACCCTCAGGGACGGACCTGGTTTTGGCAAGGTATAGGAGGAGAGATAAGGGAGGAGGAGCAATGAAGGATTTTTTATACAAAAAAATAAATAATAAAAAAAAGAAATAGAACTAATGAAACAATGCCACAAGGTCTATTTAACCGGTTTGGCAGGTAAGTTCAAGTCACGGATCGTTTAAGAAAAATGTGTACAATAGTTAGGACTGCCCTTAGTTATTCAAAAGTTGGAACCGTTTAAAGAAAATCTTCCATATTTGGAACCTTTGTTGTAAATTTTCCTAAAAACTATAAATGATACCATCCAACCTATACATGATATCATAAAAATTAATCGATGATATCATTCAAACAATTAAGCATGTTATTCAAACAATGAATATACCATCCTACCTAAAAATTAGTGACGGATTTTAGAATGAAGCTATATTGAAACTTGTTATAATTTAAATAGAGTTCCCAATAAAAGGAATGAACAAAGTTGCCCCTTATGAACTTTGGCACAAAAAGAAACCTACTCTCAATTACTTTAAGGTATGGGGGATGTAGGACAATTGTAAGATTGCTGAAACCCAAAAGAAAATCATTGGGTGAAAAAGGTAATTGATTGCATTTTTATAGGCAATGCGAAATATAGCAAAATCTACAGGTTTTATGTCATTGAACAAAAATGACTTTGTCTCAATTCACACGGTGATAGAGTCAAGGGATGCAATTTTTGATAAAAATCGGTTTTCATCAATTCCAAGGCTAAAGGATCGGATATTGTACCTAATACTGCTTCCGCCATTGTAGGTGATCCTATTATTAAAGATCATAAGACTATTTTGTCGGAAGTTAGGAAAAGTAAGATAATTAAAAAAAGAAAAATCATTTGGACTTGATTTTCAAATTTATTTAGTTGAAGGTCAAGTGAGTCAATAGAGACTCAAACACTATAATGCTATAGTGTGGAGGATCTTAAAACCTTTTTATGAGGATATGAAGTTTTATGATGCGACATTTTGGAAAGAAGCTACCCAAGATGAAATGGATTCAACTATGGGAATTGAAATATTAATACTCGAGTTTTGTCAGATTTATCACCCGGTTGCACTCCTTTAGGTTGTAAATTTAGGTTGTAAATGGATTTTCAAAAGAAAATTAAGGATAGATGGAACCGTAAAAAAGTAAAAGGTCCAGTTAGTTGTCCAAGAGTACAAACAAATTCACGATATTGATTACTTGGATACAAACGCACTGATGGCAAGAATAACCACCATAAGGTTGTTGATATCTCTGGTAATGACTCGTGACCTTGTACTTCACCAAATGACTGTAAAAACGACATTCTTTAATGGTGAATTGGAGGAGGAATTGTATATGAAATAACAAGAAGGCATTGTTATCAATGGACAAGAAACCATAGTGTGCAAGTTAGATCTTTGTATGGGCTAAAACAGTACCTAAGCAATGGCAACAAAAGTTTGATGATGTTGTCTTGGAAAATGACTTTAAGATGAATCAGTCGGATAAGTGTGTACATAAATTTTTTGATAATTATGGTAAAGGTGTTATGATTTGTTTATATGTTGATAACATGCTTATCTTTGAGACTAAAGTGGATCAAGTTGAAAAGAGCAAAGAATTTCTTTCATCTAAGCTAGATTTTCCATGATAGATATGGAAGAAGCGGATGTTATCCTTGGTTTTAGGATAAAGAAAGGGAATGGCTCAATAAGTTTAGCACAATCGCATTATATTAAGAAAGTGATTAAGAAGTTTAGTGGGTTGGATAGTTCTCTCATGTCTACTCTAATGGACCTAAATGTTTCTTTGGTTCCAAATGGAGGAGGTCTGGTTTCACAATTGGACTATGCTAGATTGGTTGGATGTATGATGTATGCTATGACAAGCACTCGACCGGATATAGCGTTCGCCGTAGGCAAGCTATGTAGGCGTACTTGTAATCCAAGTATGAATCATTGGCAATCTCTAAGTCGTGTTCTAAGGTATTTGAGGAAAACCATGGATTATGGTATGGTTTACAAAGGAGTAGATCCTTCGAATTTAGAAGGGTAACAGGTTCTTGTTGGATCATTAATAAAGAGGATCATTCTTCTACTAGTGGTTGGGTGTTTCTTCTTGGAGGAGGTGCTATTTTATGGGCATCTAAGAAGTAAACACGTATTACAAACTCAACAATGGCTTTCGAGTTCATAGCGTTGCCTTCGGTAGGTAAAGAAGCAAAATGGCTAACGAATTTGATAAATGAAGTGGACTTGTGGCCTAATCCCTTGTCACCTATTTCAATACATTGTGATAGTTCTTCTACTATATCAAAAGTATATATCCATGTTTATAACGAAAAGTTACGTCGCATAGGAGTGCGCCATAGTTATGTGTGTATGATGATAAAGGATAGGGTTGTTACTATTGATTTTGTTCAGTCTAATTTCAATTTGGCGGATCAATTTACAAAACTGTTGACAAGAGAGATTGTGAATAAAACTTCATTGGGATGAGTTTTAAGCCCATTGATAAGTCATGAGTGGAGGAAAACTTGATTTGACTTCTAGTACAACGCTAGACCTTGAGTTTGCAATTTTGGAGAAGGGATGAAGATGAGCCCAATTCAACTGATTCGGTGTTTATTGTTCAACGCTATACCCCTTCAGTTGTAATGGCTAGATAATTTATATAACCATTGCTTGTTCTAAATATTGTACATTCATTGTACTTGATATCAGGGTTTTAAGGTGTAAAAAAAATTGCTATTCAATGCTTCCCCATAACCACCTACAACAAGTAAAATAAGTTGAGTACGAAGTTTAGTACCCTACCTGCAACAAGTGAAAGATAAGTACTCAATCTGCAACAATAGTTTAGTACCCACATTTATATTTCACCCAAAGGTAGAGTGAGAGAGGAGTGATTTTTTTTTTTCTTCTTTGGTGAGAATGATCTTTTGAGTCCAATCAATCCAAATTAAAATTTAACGAGTCAAATATCAAAAGAGTAGAATTTTTTATTTTTGACTGATTAAAGAACAGAAATTTGATTGAGTAACAATATTCCTTAATGACAAGGGTGGGAAATTAAACTCACCGCGTCGAATATATTCACCGCGTCGAATATAGTCTTAGTCAACACTCAACACTAACAGGAGTAACAACGACCCCAATAGAAAAATAATCAAATCAGCGATGTATTTTTTTTCTTTTTTTTTGCGCAATTTCAATAAATTCCCCAATTCTTCATCCGAATCTTCTTTCAAATTCCTCTTTCTCAGCCAAATTCGAAGGATTAAGCGTCTCATAATCTGTTTTGATTGATCAAATCTAATGTTATTATTACTGTTTGGATCCAATTTAGTCAAAATTGGGCCTAAGCACTAAATGATCCAATTAAAAGCCCAAGGTCAAGGTTCAACTCTCCAATTGCACAAAAGTCAAAGGTCAGCCCACAAAGCATGCCAATTGGGCTAAGGCCCAACCTCACCATGTATGATGAGATATAAAAGCCATCATATTGACACATTCATAGATGGACGTTGAGATTCTAAGTCATATGCTCATTCTTGCATTCAGAAATATTCCACAAAAGCCTCAAGCTACAAACTCTCTTGCATAGTGTCTTCCTTTTACACATTGTACTGACTTTAGCATCGGAGGGGCCTTCCTCGGAAACACCCCCGAGGCTAGTTTACGTGTGTTCACTGTGCAGGAAACCTTCGGCCCAACACAACTTGGACCGAATCCAGTCTTCTCCATTTCAGCGGACCTTCGGCAAGGTCCCATTGTTTTCAACCGAAACAATTTGGCGCCGTCTGTGGGGAAGACTTTCAAAACTCTTTAAGCCAAATTCCTAACCAAGATCATCTTGCAATTATCTTAGCAGCCATGGCTAAGAACCGCAAGAGCAAAAGCCTCCGTCAAGGAGCGGGCGAAAAGCCTAAAACCCCTACACCATCGCCCTCGCCGGACCGGAACTCTCCCAAGGGTGCCGGCTCGGGGGGAGGATCATACAAAGAGGATTCCCTATCTCCTGTAATGCATGACTCTCAATATAGGCCGGACCACTCTCGGTCTAGCAGGGGTCAGTCTGATCATAGGACATATTCAGTGTCCCAAAGCCAACCATCGGCTGCGCGGCCTCATTCCCACACTCGGCCGAGGACCCCTTTGACGGGCCCAGCTCGGAAGAGGTGGCAAGAGCGCTGGCAGTACTCATGGAGGCAATGAGGGCACAGAATATGCCACCGCCTCGTGATCGAACTCCTCCGCATACCCGGCATCAGCGGAGGAAGTTAGACCATGACGGTGGGAAGCTTCCTTCCTTCCGGGAATTGGAAGAGTGGGAGGAGGATTCTTGGAAAAATGAAAAACAGAGGAAAAAGAACTCTCAATTATTTAAAGGATCCTCATCCTCAAGACCAGCAGCGCATAAGAGCAGCAGCTCAGCTTCTCGGCCAGAATCTACTCGCCGGGAACCTGAGACTGTTCGCAGAAGCGTCCTTGACCGACTCGGCGGCCAGGAACCGAGCGTGCGTAGTCGCCTCTCGTTCCCTGCAGCCGAGGCCCAGACTTCCCAGCCAGGGACGAAAACCACTCCTACCTCTCTAAGAGGGCGGAGCGCGGTCCCTTCGGCCAGGAACAAGGGCAAGGCCGTTATGCTACCCGCTAGTTCACCATTCGAGCAATGGATACTGGAAGAGCGCGTACCCACGGTTAAAATACCGTCGCATATCACATATGACGGGACCACGGATCCGAAGGACCACGTGGCCTCGTATGAGACTCATATGCATCTTTGCCCCAGATCCGAGGCGACTTGGTGCAAATATTTCCCAACCACTCTCAAGGGGATCGCGCAAGCGTGGATCTCCAAGGGAGTAAGGCAAGGCTCCATAACAGGTTGGGATGATCTGTCCTCCAAGTTCAGGAGCAAGTTTTCCACGGCAAACCGCCGAGAGAAGACTACCGCAGAGCTCATGAGTCTGCAACAGGGGAAACCGAAAGCCTCCGAGACTACCTGACCCGTTTCAGTAACGAGTCATCAAGCGTCTCCCAGCTGGACCAGGGTTAGCTGTTTTTGCAATGCAGAATGGCCTTCAGCCAGGAAAGTTCCTAGACTTCATGGTCATGCATACCCCGCAGACCTTGGAGGAAGCTCTTAGTGCTTCGGATAAGTTCATCCGAGCCGAAGAGTGGAATAAAGCAAAAACCCAACCTCAATCCGGGGGAGGGAAACAGAGGCAAATACCCTTGTCTGAAGGCCAAGGCCATAAGGCAAAGGGAAAATCAAAGGCTCCGGAGCCATCTTTGGCCAACGACCTAAAGAAGGACAGGTTTGCCTCATACACAGGCAGATACGAGTCCTACACTCCGCTCTCTCTTCCACGCGCCAAAATTTACAGTGTGACGAAGGAGGAGCAGAGTTACCGAAAGCCGAGACCACTCCCAGAGTGGTATCAGCGAAAAAATAAAAATCAGTGGTGTGAGTTCCACGAGTCTTCGGGCCACAACACTGAGGAGTGTATCCAACTGAAGGACCAGATAGAGGACATGGTCCGGAAGGGATACTTGAAAAAATACATCGCGGATCACCGCGAGAAAAAAGAATCCGAGAGGTCAGCAAAGGACCCTCGGCAGGACCTTGATTTCCCCCGGAAAAACAGTAAAAAAACCGGAGGGGAAATTCCCTCCGATCAATGTTATCTCGGGAGGAATATACTCTCGGAGGGAGCACAAGCGTCACCTTAGAGCTTTGACTCACCAGGTGAACAACGCTGACATTCAATCTCCCCAGTCGCCGGTGCCGAACATGACGTTCACAGCCGCCGACTGCCGGGGGATTACGTTCCCTCACGAGGATCCGTTGGTGATCATCGCCACGGTGGCCAACCACGACGTCAGTAAGGTCCTTGTTGACGGTGGCAGCGGAGCAAACATTCTGTTCCGAAAGGCCTACAATCAAATTAAGCTGAAGCCCAAGCACCTTACGCCGGTACCCTATCCGGTATCCGGGTTCAATGGGCTTCAACTTATCCAGATGGGAAGGTGACACTTCCTGTCACCATCGGTTGCGATGAGGCAGCCCGGAACGTCATGATTGAGTTTTTGGTCATCGACGCTCCTTCAGTGTACAACGTGATTTTGGGGAGACCCATAATTCACGAGATCCAAGGGGTCGTCTCAACTTATCATCAGCTGATGATTTACGTCTCAGACGCCGGCTTCCCCGAAAGGATACAGGGCAACCAAAAGGACGCCCGAAGGTGCAACTACCTCAAGCCATCCAGTAGTCGCCCAGATGACGACAAGGATGAGGAGGAGAAAGAAAAAGAAAGAGAGCCAAGCACAAAAAAGCCGAAAGGCCTAAGTGCTTCGGCCCAAGGATCCGTGCCCAGAGAAAAAGGTCCCGAAAGGGAAAAGGTTGACTCTTCAGCTGAGCCGCAAGACTCAGAGAGCCATCCGAAGAACACAAAGACTGGGACACCTGCTGACATTGGCAGCAGACCAGATTCTGAAGAGTCCAGTCCATCGGCAATGGACATGGATCAACAGACTGAAACAGTTGAGTTGGCCGAAGGAGATGCTGAGAAATGTGTAACAATCGGGATGGACCTTGATCCGAACACCCGTTGTGAACTTATTCAACTCCTTCGGGACAACAGAGATGTGTTTGCTTTCTCGGCAGCTGATATGCCCGGGATAAGTTCAGACCTCATCTCCCATAAGCTTAATGTTGACCCAACGTGTCGACCAGTTAAGCAAAAGAAGCGGAATTACTCCGCCAATAAGAACCGAGACATCGCAGCCGAAGTCAAAAAATTATTGGAGGCAGGGTTCATTGAACCTTGCCAATATCCGGAATGGCTGGCAAATGTGGTGATGGTTCAGAAGCCCAATGGTACCTGGAGGATGTGCGTTGACTTCACGGACCTAAATAAGGCTTGTCCAAAGGATTTTTATCCCTTGCCGAGAATCGATCAGCTAGTCGATTCGACAAGTGGCCATGCCTTGCTTAGTTTCATGGACGCATTCTCGGGGTATCATCAGATCTTTATGCACCCCGAC